CAGGAAGGCCAACTGCCTACTTGCAGACAGGGATAATTAGTCTGCTGTCTCTGATCCCCCAGAGGAGGAATCAGCATATACACCAGGAAAAAAAAAAAAGATATAAAATCCACCTAACCAACTGATTTACAATGCTTTCTAATATGGAAATTTCATTTTAACACTTCTCCGACAAGTGAGATGTCCTATGTAGCTACTGAACCTGAAGTACTGGTGCATTGCTACTCTCTTAGAATGGGCCATACACTTCTTAATATAAGCATTCATCTCAGACAACCTGAGATAATAGTGTAATTCCATGGACAAGAGAGATAAAACAGCACTTTTTAAAAAGCAAACTAGGAACCATTGTGAACAGAGGAAATCAAATGTGCACAGTAAAAAAAAAAAAAAAAATCCTAATTTACAATTCACATAGTGCTCCTCTGAATAATTTAACATAACAAATGCTGGTATCCATTAAGAAGGACTATTCTTGAACATTACTAGAAGTGTCACAAAACATTTATCACTTGAAAGTGACTAATATTTTGCAAACTATTTGATTATAAAATATGCTGAGCTTTCTTGGCAATTTAAAGATAAAATATACTAAGAGAGTGCTTAGACTCTTCTTAACTGAACACACGCTGTAGTACATTTATATATTAATGTATGTAGTTCAAGTAGTATAATGTATATGACAAAAAGATGGCCTGACCAAATAAGTTATCAACAGAAGGGTATGACAAAATGCATAGCGTATCAAAAAATTATGACCATTATACTTGATCTAAATGACTGCAGAGTCCAATAAGGTGTGGATGGAATAAGTATGGAGGGCTACAAGGATTTTTATAGTCAAAGAAAAAAATTAAATCAAAGAGAACATTAAAGTTCTGACACAAAACCCATCAAACCCAAAACTAAACATGCTACTCTGCAAAATAGCAGCAAGAATTGACGCTAGATTTTTTTTTTTTTAAATAGTTATGCGACTTTGAATTCAGTTGTAGCACAAGTTACATACAATTTTTTATATTGAAGGGGAAAAAAAGGAGTCCTAACCTAAAGTTCCTCATTCAATCCTTTAATAAAAATTAACATTTATTTTCAATATGTAATTCCCAGTTAGTGATCCAATGTTTAACTTAGACACGTATCAATCCTTCAGAAAGAAACCCGCAAACCTCATTACAAAAAAATAATTTTTGCATTTGGTAATTTTTTTCAAATATAGAAAAGTTACCTTATATTCATTTGATACAATAGAATCTGGATCTTTTCTTTTCTTTTTCCCTTTTCTATCCTTAGTCTGTTGAGTGGTTGAAGCCTGGTAAGACTGAAGATCCACTCGTGAATGAAACTGGTAGCGACCACTTTCTACATCACAGTAGTAATAAATGCCAGTGGTTGGATCATAATAAAGTTGATTTTCCTTTAGAAAGAAAAAAAAAGTAACGGGAACTTTATTAAACCTTATATTAATCAAATAAACACAAAGTATGCAATTCAGAAGAACTGCATGTGAAGCTGATATGAAAAATTTAGCACATTCAGTTACATACATCACACTGCTAGATCAAAATAGTAATTGAACAAGGAAAATGACCATTCAAATCACTGTGATACAGAACATATTAATTACAATACTAAAACAAAACATTAGAACCAAGCGATCCTAAAAGCTAAAGGTTTTTAAACCTCCATGTTTCCCTTACCTCAAAACACAAAACCACTCAAAAATGACTAGATAGAAGAATCAGCAAATTTATCATAGATATCATCTCTGTTAAAGTAGAATCATAGCAGTAGACAACTTTGTCCCCTTTAATCATAAGTAATCTTGTTTGAAAACCTTCTGCTCAAGTAAAAACTCCTGGCCGACTCCCTATTTACTCCCCCCCATATTAAATAATATTTGTAAAAGTATAATGAAATTGCAACTTCATAAAAAGAACAGGGAAAACTTCTATTTGGATTTTGTCACCGACTATTTCATGCTGTGAAAAATGAACTGGCTGACACTATTTAGCTGGTCTTGAAAATGTACAATACATAATGACACTTAATTTCTATTTGAGAGGTCACTAGGTCATTATACTGTTCTCAGTCAAATAGAACTGTATTACAACATGGTTTAACCCAGGATTGTTCAACTTTTAAGTGGGCAGGGCTCGCATGCCCCTGGGACCACACATTATACCACAGCCCTGCATCCCCCCTGCATCCCACACACCATGTGGACCTCCAATGTACTGCATTACATCACATGCCTCTTGCACTGGCAACACTGCATTGCGTGGCGATCCCAGATCTTCTTGAGCCTTCTTCCCAGTCATGGGCTCCCTCAACCCCATGAGCCATGCTGTGCTGCCCTGCTCCTAGTGGCGTAAGCAAGCAGCAGAAGCAGGAGGAAGAGGAAGCTTAGAGACTCCAGTGGCAGTTGCAGGAGATCAGCATGGAGGGAGCAATACTTGGACCAGAACCTCTCAGGGGGCCAGATAAGGACCACAGGTCACTAGCTGGAATGCACTAGTTGGTATAACTTCTACAACTGTAAAAAAGGGGAATGCTAATGGCTTATACGCAATGATTTAAAGCTCTTGATTTAGTTCCTAAAAATGCATAGTCACATGACAAAGAAGCAAAATTGGCACCGATGCTACCTTTAGGAAAGCTGAAGGTTGAATGACACAATCCGAGCTTTCCTTTTCATCTCCAACCTGATATGGAGAAAGCCACAGGGGTGGGACAGAGTGGAAAAGCGTGTAAAGCCAAGGTTTAGATTGTATCTGTTCTTTCTTTTCTAGTGATATCAGTTCAGCATCTTTCAATAGCATTACATTTAAAAGAGAAAATGTTCTCTTGCAAATTTAAAGTCTTTTCTTCCTTTATTACAGACCCTCCTTTAAAACTAATGAGCACGTGCTTGCATTCATGGGAAAGTAGGCCCCTTACAAAAGAAAGGCATCCAACACTTAAAGGAAGATTTTTCATCAACTCTATTGCTAAATGCCCCTTGCAGAATTTTGATCCACTTTGTCAAAATATCTGGCAGTCTCAGTAATCTTATATTTTCCCCCTCAACTATATTAAATCAGACACAACATCCAGCCAATTTAACCATTTCCTGTATTTCTCTCACAGCAAAGAAGCCTCCGGGACTTGAAAGGCTACTGCTATCTTTCCATCAAAATGTTACTTATTTTTAAAACCCCAATTTTCTAATTTTGAAATAAAAAATCCAACAGAAACCATGCTAGCATGGAAAACGCCTTCTGGGTTAAAAATTTATGAGACATCATATAAAGAACTAAATGAAGGCCCACATCTGTGTCTTAGGCTGTCATTTCCACTGCTTACACAATAAATTTAGCAACTGTGCTCGTAAAATTATATAAGGTAGCTGATTGCATAAAAACAGTGCTATACTACATTGAGAGATCAAAATAGGGATGTAAGAATGCTAAAAGTATTTTTTAAAAATCAAGACAAATCAGTAATTTTCAATTTTCATATAAGAATTCTATTAAAAAAATATTGAAAAGTGTGTTTGTTCTTGTTTTAATTTCTAAACTAGAAACTATGTTACTCCAGATTTGTCCATCTTTTCAGAAATAAATTCACAGTTATTGATTTCTCAGTTCTCTCTACCATTATTTTTCAAGGTATTGACATGAAACAGAATCTCTGTAGGAAATAAACACTGGTTTCAGAGTTCATTTCTAAATTGATCACAGAAAAAACTGCAATGAGGTTATCAGTACTCATAAAATAATTTTAAAATTTTAAAATCAATTTGTTATATCATGCAAATGTAATAATCCACGCACACAAATGTAAAAAAAAAAGCCGTATATTTACTGAATTATAGTAGAATCCAGTGGTATGGTCATAATACAATCCCGTGTTTTCATCATAAATAAATCCAGTTTGTGATACAGCTGCCTCAGCAGCGGCTCTCAAGCTTTCTGCTAATGAACCTTCGGACACCAAAGTACCTTCAGATTCCTGAAATCAGGGAATAGGAAAAAAAAAAAAAATAATTTCTTCATAAACAAAGTTTCCACATTTAAAGAAATAATGCTCAGTATAAGGAACTTAACCCCCTCCATTCTCCCTCCCCCCAGAAAAACTAACCTAGTACCATAAGAGAGACATGGAGGATGCAAGTATTCTCCAGGTAAAACAGAACTGAAACCTGACTGCAGCTAAGTCAGTGGCAAAACTCAGAGAGTTCAGTGGGGCCAGAATTTCATTCAAAGCTTTTCAGTTTTTTTGCCGTCAATTCAAAATAGTCCAAATCAATAAGCAAACAAAAGTTGCCATCTGCAACCCCTTTAGTCACATTCCTAAAGCCAGTACCTGTTTGGTGCTCAGTCAAAAAACTATCACCATTACACCTTAATGAAGGGCAGACTGGTATCGGCAGCTATTGCTATAACACATGAGTAAGAAATCTGTACAAAGCCTTCAGTACTAGAGCACTGTAAAAGTCATCTCATATGGCTAAACTGCACCTTCTAAATCAGCAACAGCAACAGTTCTACTACCTGTGAATTCTGGATTACGTTTTCTCCATATACACATTCAATATGTTCTGTGTTATCCACATCTGATTGAATGTCACCACATGCCTGCGGCTCATCTGCAGAATTGTGTGTTGGACCTTCACTCCCATGGTCATTCTCCACAGGTAGATCAGATGCATTATCTTGAGGCTCAACGTTGTTATAATAATTCTGATAATAATAATAATCTGCAGAAAAAGTTTAAATGACAATTATCAAAGCAATATTTGACACAAAAATCAACCTAACAACCCTAAGGCATAATTTAAAACTTTATACACACAAGTAATCCAATTGAAATCAATTATTTGGTAATACACACCACTTCGCATTTAACTTGCTTTTGTTAAACAAGTAACTCCAATATGCATATGCATATTGCTCCAATATGCATATGCATATTGCTCCAATATGCATATGCAAGTGCTGAATTTTATGTATAATCATACTATTTATTTTTTCCTATTGTGGCAAGATCAGGGTCTCATTACATTATGCAGCATGCTGAGACATACAGACACAGGGTGGCTATCCTGAAAATCTATAGGAAACCTGGAAATCTAGAAGACAGACAGGACAAAAGAACCAGACAAACAACATGTATTTGGAGGATGAAGCAAGCAGAAAAGAAACAAAACTGAATAGGACTGGGTATTTGACCAGTCATATAAAGTTTGGTCAACTGACTAGTCAAATATCAGTCAAAAATTGTAAAAAATTGCCAAAATTGCATAAAATGGTCAACTGACAATATTTGACCAGTCAATGGACCAGCTTGCCAACCCCAGAATGAAAGAAACAGCTCCAAGTCATCAATTCTACTCCCCTGCTAGTGTTTGTCAGAACTTTATCAAACTCCATCATAAAAACAAAAAGAAAGATTCTCACCCCACCCCTGTTCCTACTGAAAGGCTCTTCCAGAACTTCAGAAATTAGAAGGTTCTTAGCCATCGGTGGAGTAGTCTTGGCTTATTCATGACCAGTTTATATCCATCTGTTCTTCAGTCAACATCGAAACGGTTTAAACAGCTTACTCTTCTTCCTCCTTGGGGTTGAATTTCTACCCCAACATATATATAAACAATTCTATCCCATTCTCTGATTTTGTTTTGTCAGACCAAACCAGTCCACTTCTGTGAATCTCCTCTGTAGGGTACACTTCCCATTTCTCCAATCACTCTAGGAGCCTCTCTATACCTACTTCAGATATTTATGGAATTACTCTCTTGAATAAGAGTAATCAGAACTGTATACAGTAATCCAGATAAACTCTCACCATTGCCTTTCACACCGACAGTAATTAATTCCCTAGCCCATTAGGAAAGACAACTCGATATATCCTAGGCTAACATTTTTTTTCCATGGCCTTCAGTCTCACTGTTACCCCAGTTAACCTGTAACTAATATAAGCAGTTTTTTTTTCCTCTTCTGTCATTTCCAGTTGGTAAGCTCCTAGCTTATAGCAGAAACAGTCCTTACGCGTGTGATGTTGCACTCTACTAGAGTTTCAACACATTTCTGCAATTTATCCAGTTCTTCCTGTACGATACTTCAGTGCTGCTCTGCATTATCATTGCCTTCCAACTTTGTGCTACTAGCAAGATTCACAAGCATCCCCTCCTTAACCATTTCCTGGCTTCACTACTAGTTGTGTGTGACATTTTATCAAATGTTTTACTGAAGTCCAAATAAACTAGACCTATTGAAATTTTGCTTGTTTGGAAAAATCTATTCTCTTATCAAAGAAAGATATCAGGTCAGCATGGCAAGATTTACCTTGGTAGTCCCTGTTGCATTTTATCCCATTTTTCCTTTTACTTCTATATCTTTAATTATGTTTTCCTTCAAAAAGTACACATCATAGCTCAATACTTACCTAATCAACACCAGATAGTACCAAAGGCTGATTTAAAAAGGAATTTAGAAGAAGATAGCAATTTTTCAATTTTAGGTGTAGTTTTACACATGAATAGAGGGTAGCACGAAAAAAACCCTAGATACCAGAGGAAGAAGCAGACAGAGGCATAACTGGATACTTGAGCAGATGGGTGACAGCCATGTCAACAATGATGGCTGGGCCAGCAGCATGGCTGCTAGTATATTTGGAAGCCCCTTCAGGTTCACAGCTGGTGCTTATTGCCCCCTCTTCATTGGGCTTCTGTAAGCAGGCCATCAAATCAACATTAATAGTAGTATAAAGTCAGGAATCAATTGCCTGATGTATTAAATGATTTGAAAGATGTATTATACCTGAAAAGGCCTTAGAAGTGATGACAAGTTGGTTTGTTTTATTCAGCACAGAAGATAAGCCACATACACATAAAATATACTTCAAGTTAATAAGAAATGGGAAATAATGATATATTACCATGTCTAAAGTAACTGATTTAGGAATTAAAGGATCTGTTTCTTAAGGGCAATCTCCACTGTCTACCTGATTCTGACCAAGCAGCATGATCTTCTGTCTGTACTTCTACACTAGATGTACCCTTCTCTCTTTTCTTCTTATCATGGATTTCCTTACTGAGCTCTTCAACCTGCAAAAAAACAGTATATTATACTATTATCAAATCCATCCCAGTCATAATTACCTACCTTAAAGAACCTCACTGCCCTCTTTCTTTGTGGAAACTGGAGAGAAATAAATATTTAAGTATTTAATAGCTATTGGTACTGATCTCTGTTTCTTGAGACTCACACTAACAGATATCAAAACGAGAGATCATTCTTTTTCTTGTACAGTTACACTAGTTCAAGGTGTACAAGTATACCCTGAAGTGATGCACCTAGGCACAAATAACCCAACTATACCTACATTATGATGGGCTCTACATTAGCTGATACCACACAAGAAAGATCTGGGAGTCATTGTAGACAGCTCAGAGCTCAGCAGCCAAACAAAATATTAGGGGTTATTAAGAAGGGAATTGTTAACAAACCTGAAAATATCATCATGCCCCTTTATGAATACATGGTGCATCCACACCTTGAATACTGTACTGGGTTCTGGTCCCCACACCTCAAAAAGGATACAGAAGAACTAGAGAAGGTACATAGAAGGGCAATGAAGATGTTTAATGGATTGGAGGGGCTTCCATATGAAGAGAGATTAAAGAGGCCTATTTGGTTTAGAAAAGAGACATTTGAGGCAGACCACGATGAGGGTTCACAAAATACTAAATGGCCAAGAGAAAGTAAATAGGGATTTATTATTTCCTCTCTCTTACAATACAAGAATTAGGGGTCACAAAAAGAAACTAGTAGGTAGTATGTTCAAACCTAACAAAAGAAAGTTCTTTTTCACAGAGTTTTTAATTAAAGTGTGGAACTCATTGTCACCAGATGTTGTGGAAGCTGACAGTTTAGCCAGATTCAAAAGGGATTGGACAAATTATGGGAGAAAAGGGGCATCAGTAGCTACTGAGCGCTGGAGTTAGAGATACAGCCTCTGAATCATAACTTCCTGTCTTAAAAGTTGGAGGCTGCAAGTGAAAGAGGAACAATGGAAAAAACCTGGTCATGCCCAGTTCACCCTCCCTTCCATCATTCACACTCTGCCACTGTATGACACAAGGATATACTGGGCAAGATGGACCTATGGTCTGGCCCAGTAAATGGCAGTTCTTATGTTCTAGAAAATGTTAATGATCTAAATTTAAAAAACCCAACAAAATATTCAAACAACCACCTTTCATGTGCTTTATCACCCTAATAATATTACATTTTGTAGCATGCCATAAAAAAATGCAGAGGCATAAGACTGCTATAATGTATACTGCACACATTTTTATTGAGCAATCTTCTTTTTTTCCCTTCACTTTCCTTTGTTTTTGAATTCATTCCCTTCCCTGGATCTGTTTTTCTTCTTGAATAATCTCATAAACCAAGCTTGTGACTCTGGAAACGTTACAAAATTTGCTCAGGACTGATGAATGCAAAAAGCTGGAGCTAAGTGCCTACACTGGACTTTCAACCTAAGGGCATGAACACACCACGCTTAGAATGGTTTAAACACGAGGCAGACAGACATATGACCCTGTCAAACCAGTTTAAATCCACCTAGAACAGTTCAAAAGTATACTCGGACAAATCAAGTACTATTTTGAATTGGTTCACTGTGGACCATTTCAGTGCTATGTGTGGACAGCAGATGTTCTGTGGCGTGGGTCTAGCCAGCTCAATAAAAGCTGTGGGTGCCTATACAAGGGCTGCGAGGCTGCTCCGATGTGTTGCAATTACAGCACGTTGCATCTGTTGGAGCATGGGAATTACCACACTCCTACCAGCCTCCACATCTTGTGTATCAGCATCCCCATGCTTCAAAATGGCGGCAGGGGCTCTTTAACTAAAGCTCACTTGACAAGCTTTAGATAAAGTGCCCCTGTTGTCATTTTGAAGCGTGGGGACACTGATACATAAGACTCTGCAAGCACTTTAATACGAGCAGGTCTTGGAACCACTCTAATTAAAGTGCTCCCTCTCTCCCCCCTACTCCTGGAGCAGGTGTAAAAACGCCTTGTGTTTCTACTCCCTACTCAACTGATCACAGCCCATCATCAAGCCCTGCCAGATCCTGGGAACCAAAAAGTGTAGGTCCCACAATTTCCCATACCCCAAGGCAGGCAAGCACACTGCAGACTTAGGTTATTTGCAAACTAATGAAGTTGGTTGAACTCATGCTGAGTAGGGGTACACCAAGAAATATTTTTGGGGCTGATACCAATGGCCAAATATTAACAAGCCATATCGGCCAATACTGATCTAATTGCCGATATGCAGTCCAGTAACTTGAAGAGCAGCATCCAATTGGTAAGTCTGTTGGGGAGGAGGGGGGCAGATCGAGGCCCCCTGAGGTGAGGGAGCGGAGCTGGGGCAGGCACTGCATAGCCAGGGTAGGGCAGGGGGCAGGATGGAGCCACAAGCAGCTCATCCAGGGAGGCACAGGGGAGCAGCTCCCGCCTCTGTGCACA